TCTGACCTCACCCACTTGCCCTGAAGATTAGCATGCTCTAAGACTAAGCAAAAAAAAAAAACAACTTAAAAGGGACACTTCTCACTAGACACTATCCTGCATATGAACCATACAATTTGTGGATAGAGACTAGAGGGGAAAACTGGGAGAGAATGAGGGAAGGGTGATAGTGTCCAAAGGAAATGGACTCTTTTCTTGACTTATGTTGTAGAGAGCTGCCTGCAGCCGCACCTTAAAGATGGCGCCGGCTTCTGCCCTCAGCCTTCCTGATGGCGAGTGCTCTCTGTGGTAAACAACTCCTTATATGGCTAAGGCAAAGAATCTGGCTTGCTTCCTCGCACCTGGACCTGTTGATGGCTCCCACGTGGCGTATCAGGGTTGGCTACCCAACGGGTACTTAAGGCTGTGTGGGAATCTCCCCAGGGTCAGAAGATTGCTCAAAGGTCCTGAATAAACTGCTGAGAGAAGAGCTCGGTGTTGCGTCTTCCTTGCTGGTCGAGGTGGTCGTGACATTATGTAACTAAGCCCTCTGCATATCACCTTTACAATAACAATAAAGAAATTTTAATAGACACTTATTCTAGGAAAATGACTCTCCTTTGGACAAAAAAAGTATTTGTTAAGAAAAATAACATCACTTGTGTTACAGGTAAGCCCCTTTGTATTTCCACAATCAACTGCTCATTTTTAATTATACCTTGAATCCTTTGAGGTTTTGTTTCCATCTAATTTGTACATTTATATGTCGTTCTGTGGTTATATAAATTCATAGTCATATGTACACAAATAAGCACAGAATGTTTACAACTAACTTTATTTGTGTTTATTCACTTAAGGAACATAAAATTTCTGTCAACACACACACACACACACACACACACACACACACACACATGTCTGTCAGAAGGACAGACACTTGTCTTAAAAGAAGTGTGTGGCATCAATGAGCCATGTTTAGCAGGCCAATCTGGAGATCCCTGGTCCCAACTGATAAAAACAATGTGTCAGCAGAGATGGTGAAATGCACCAGGTGTCAGAACTAGGGGCTCACTGAACTGATGGTGAATTAGAGCCAAGTCTGTGATGTTCTCACAGCCGTTGCACCTGCGATCAGACACACCACCCCCACTCTAAGTTGCATCTGTCTTTGCTGTACTAATGTATTTCCTTGACCCCATCTTGATATCTTTTTTGTGACAACATCAAGAATTCAGTATCCAAGGGCCAGGCAGAGGCCTCCTTCTTTTGGAGACTTCTTTGTGGGTCATTGATCTGTTCACAGGATGACCAAACTACATTCTGTTCAGTTTCTGAATTCTACCTTAATTTGCCTTTATGGTTTCCATTGTTCGCTGCTTTCTATGGAGGATCCCACTGGGAACATGAAAGGCAGCTAGGTGCTCAAAGCAAGAAGCACTCCAAGGACTGTGAAGGTGGCTCAGTGGTAGAGCACTTGCCTTGCATGCATGAGGCCCTGGGTTCGATTCCTCAGCACCACATAAGCAAAAAGAAAAAAAGCTGGAAGTGGCACTGTGGCTCAAGTGGTAGAGCGCTAGCCTTGAGCTGAAGAGCTGAGGGACAGCGCCCAGGCCCAGAGTTCAGGCCCCACGACCGGAGCCCCCAACCCTCCCAAAAAAAGAACTCTCCAAATCTAGACAAGCAGAGGCTGGTCCACCCTTTGGTGAAAACACCCACAGTGGGTAGATTCCAGGTGTTCCTGCGCTGTGGTCTACCCACTCTCTCTGCTGCTGCCCCTACAGGATGGCCACCAGCCGTGTCCCATCTAAGAACGTCCTGTGGCTGCTGTGGGGAAAGGGTTAATGAGAAATGTCCTCCCAGGATCCTTTTATGTCTTTCAGAGAGCAAAGGAAGTCATTCAGGCTACAGTAGGCCATTTGGCACAATTGAAGAGGAACAGGTCTGAAAAACTCCTGTGCCACCAAAACCGACGACTAAAAATGGTCTTGACCAGGCTTACACTGCAGTCGCAAAACTTAGATCATTTCCAGTAAATACTTCTGTTAGGCAGAAACGAAACTTAAGCCAAACATAGAAACTGTAAATAGGGTAAACAACAATAAAAAGCAATGTTGCACTGCAACCAATGTAATCATTTCCTGTTTTGCTTCTGCATTGTTCCTCTAAAGACTGCCTCTGATGCACTGCAATTGACCCTTGGGGTCAATTTAGTTGCGGTTATGCAATTCACAGATTGTTCCTTACTCAAACTCCCTTTTTTTAAAAAAAGAATTGTGTCACATCCTACCTTTTTGAAAAAGAAATTCTTAAGTTGAAGTAGTTGTACAAAGGGGTTTCAATTCAACATGTCAATGTATAAGTACAATGCATATCGATCAATATCACCTTTTCTTTTCTTTTTTTCTTCTTTTCTGTCGGTTGTGGGGCTTAAACTCTGGGACTGGACTCTGTCCTTCAGCCCTTCAGGTCAAGGCTAGCACTCTACAACTTGAGCCACAGCACCACTGCCAGTTTTCTGGTATTTAAGTGGAGATGAGTCTCACAGACTTTCCTGCCTTGGCTGGCTTTGAACTGCGATCCTCAGATCTCAGCCTCCTGAGTAGCTATGATGACAGGTATGAGCCACTGATGCCCGGCTCAATATCACCTTTTCTATCATTCTCTCCACCACTCCATCCCCTCAAGCTACCTGGCTCCATTTTCCCATGTCTATGTTGAGTATTATCACTGTATTCACCCACCCTTCCCTCTCTGTCAGCCCTCCCTTCCCTTAACCTCCACTGTCTCCCAATGAAAGATTTTATTAAAAAAAAAAAAAAGACCCCCCCATGGGAACAAGGAATTAAGTGAAGTCTCATTGCCCAGGTGTTGGCCCCAGGATAAGGTCATGAAATAGTTTATGGTTTTAGTGG